GCGTTGCGTTGCGTTGCGTTGCGTTGCGTTGCGTTGCGTTGCGTTGCGTTGCGTTGCGTTGCGTTGCGTTGCGTTGCGTTGCGTTGCGTTGCGTTGCGTTGCGTTGCGTTGCGTGCGTGCGTGGGTGGGTGGGTGGGTGGGTGTGTGTGTGTGTGTGCCGTGTGTGTGTGTGTGCCTCTGTACGCTCGTGCTCGTGCGCGTGCATGTGCGCAGGCGCAGGCGCAGGCGCGTGCTGGTGTGCGGGCGCTTGCGCGTCCGCGTGCTCCCCCCTTGCGCGCGTGGGCGTGGGCGGGCGCGTGTGCGTTTGCGTCATGCGCGTGTGCTTGTGCGCGTGTGCGTGTGCGTGTGTGTGTGTGGATGTGGGTATCAGTGTTGTGCGTTTGTTGTGTGCTGGTTGGTGTTGTGTTGTGTGCGCTTGCGGCTTGTGGGTCTGCGAGCTCGGGCTGGTGATGCGGGTGATGCGGGTGATCAGCAAAAAACCAAGGCAAAATGGGCTGAAGATGGCTGAAGCCTACGCGGCAGGCTAACCCACGCAAGCGCCTCTCCGCGCAGAGCTGCGTCTCGCTCGTCGAAACGGGTTTGTGTGCAAAGGCCCTTACTCCTTGGCCTTCATTGTCTTGCGCGCAAGCTCGAACACTTCAGCCGCCAAAGCAGTGAAGTCTAGCGCAGTGGTGCTGGCGTGGCCGGTTGCGTGTCGCTGTAAATAAAAATATGTGTTCCACAGCCAAGTGTTTACTATGGGAGGGTCTTTTCTCATTGGGGAGGACCGGATTGCAGTACAAGGAACAAGACAAAGAGAAGCAGGAGGAGGCATAATTATCAATATCAGACTGTGTGTGGCAGCGCAACCCACACTGTCTGGAGCACACCGTGCCTGGTACTCATAGCAGTACTTCAGCTGACCCGTGCACTGCCGGATGGCCACCTGTGATGCTAACGCAGCGACTGCCCGTGAAAAGAGCCTAAGGTTCAGCCCTCACAAATCTACAAATGCCCTCAAAAGTGCACAACAAGCCACAAGCCATGTTCAAGCATTGCTGTTGGCATGTGCCATCCATAGGCCCAGAAACGCCATACTACGACCTGGATTTGACTCTAGAGCTCTTCGTATCCAATTCAGACTATTTCAGGCAAGAGCTTCCTGCTGAAACGCCTTCAAGCAGTGTTGCAGCACGAGGCTCTCCTCTAACCTCTGGACGCGACGGCTCGTGCGCAACCCAAGCTGCCAAAACTTGGCTTGGCTGGAAGAAGAGTGGCTAGCAAGTTGCGCCTGCCACACAAAAACCTGGGGATCGCCATGTGCGCCGGTTGGCGTCGACGGCTAAATGTGTGCATCACTCGGCTCAGGGTCATGGCTGATGGCAGGCATCGCGGCACACCGTGCAGTCCGGCATCCGCTTCCCCGCCAGAAATATCGGCATGCCCAACTCGCCAGCCGGACACTCGGGAGCAAGGCCTTCGCGATGTCCCTCCAGTCCCTAGAGGCCAATCAGCGCACCAGGCCGTTAAGTCGAGTCGAGACAAACCATATCCTTCTCATCTTCGGGCTCGACATAGAGAGCGCCTGCTTCAAATGACTTGGCTGTGCGCTGAGCCTGCACTGAAGAAATGGATAAAGGAGACGGTCGCTTCCAGCCGCCTTTCTTCATCCGCTCTTGGCGCCACAGGTCGCAATCTCCAAGACCTGCCGGAGTCGGCTGAGAGGTTTTGCACGGTCTCCACGTTCGCTTCAGCTCTGTGCCTGTCGTCGCCAAACTCGTTGATGGCATCTTTGATATGTTGAACATTTTGAAGGCAAGAATCGTCCTGCCGGATGCACCTGGACCGCATCTTTAAATTCATCCATATTGTTTACGTCGTCTTTGAAGGGCTAAGCCTCTCCCTGTGATTCTGGAACTGACTCCCACTTAGCACTCACTTCGGCGACTCCCAAGTCCAATAGTAAGACGGAGATTGGCAAGCTTCTTTCCTGATTTGCCCTGTTTGGCATCCACCAACTCGCCAACCCAGCTGCAAGATCCCTTCCGTCGCTACTGATTTCATTCCAGATCTTCTTATTCTCGACTTCTGGATATGATTCGCGGAAGGTCTGGAGAATGGAATGATTTCATGTCGCTGGCAAGACCAAGAGGGCCCATGTGAGCCACTTTATGGGGACCATTCTTGGGAATCTTGCACAAGGACCCAGACTATCATATAATTGAGCAAAATGCCTACAGGCCAACCATGTCCTGGGTGTGCTCAAGGGTTGCAAGCAAGACTTTACTTAAGCCCAGCACATCATCCATTTTCCTGTCCCAGTAGAAGCGGAGCCTGAGAGTGGGCGAATCACAGCAGCTTGTCACTTTTCTGCCAACCAAGGCACTGCGACTCCCAGGCAAACTCCTCCTTGCTCAGAATGCCTCGGGCACGCTGATTTGTCGAACAGCTTCTGTAACCGAAGAGCGAAAGCGAACGACACTACAAAAAGCGATTGCTTGAACATGTGCTCGTAAATTTGGACGTGCGTGAACAACTTGAACGACCGTTCAAAATAGCAACTGCCTGAAATCAAGGCTAGAAGCTGTCACGGACAAAGCGGTCGACAATATCGCGGGCATGCACGTCCAAGATGATCAAAGTGTTCACCTGCCCAAGGAACGGGGCGAGCCATCAACGGTCAAATCGCAAAAAGCCTTCTTTCGCTGCAGCTTGTTGATGGGCGAACGCACGAAGGCTACCAAATCCTCAACTGCATGCAATCTGTTGCACCACGTGTTTTGTTTGCATGCCCAGAAATATGTTCATCGCACTACCGGCATATGCTCCAAGGAAGTGTCCTGCACCTGCTGGTTTTCTTTTCTCAGCTCGTTCTTCATAGCACTCTTGTCTCCCTCGGCGACCTTCCTGAATGCATCCTGGCATCTTGCTCAAACCCTAGCCTGCAAAAAAGTCAATTGCATAGCAAGGGCAAGTCGGTACGAAGCAATGGATGCACTTCAATTTCCATGTCCACCACTCGCCTCCACTTGCCAAGTCCACCAAATCTGCGTCCCCAGGATGGCGACCATGCCGATGTAGCTCTGGATCCATTCCATCCTGTCCTGAGCTTCTCCCCCACTAATGTTGACCCCAAATTGATCAACCCCCGGGCCCCCGGTTTACGAATATGGGGGTGTTCCCCTCCAAAAGTGATGATCCCCCACTAAACCCACAGACACCCATATTCATAAACAGGGTGTTTCAATCTGGGGTCAACATTAGCAGGGCCAGCAGTGTCAAAACCCAAAAACACACACACACAAAAAAAAAAAGAAACTTGAGCTCCAAACCTGCGATGCATAGTAGTAGACCTGCCATGCGGGTTTCTTCATGGATGTTGCAGCGACACAAAAACGAATTTGAAAAGAGAGCCAGAGAGACCGCGGCTTTGGAGATGCGCTGCAGGGTGTCTTGCATCTGCTCATCCACCGTGAGCATCCTGAGTCACGCCAGTTCAATTGCCCGCTTCCAAGGAAGTTCCTGAGGCCCGGAGCCAATCCTCGACCGCTCCCTCGGCCTGAAAAAGTGGTTTCCGTGAAACCCATCTGCCCGGCATGTCCGTCGGTTTCCCATCTGCCCGGTTTCTTATGGGCCCCCCCAAACTTCATCTCGCTTGTAAGAAAAGAATCGAGCATTTGACCTGCTTTCACCTTTACGGGTCTCAGTCAAGCTTAAAGTTGCCTTCTGAGCTTGATGAAAGCGGAAGTGCTCCCCCTCGTCCGAGTACATGCCCACCACGGTCTGAGAGTGCAATGGCTCACTTGGTGTCGAGCATATGTGTGCGTGCAAGGATGCTTCGAGCCTTGCCCCGGCTGAACTCTAACATCTTGCAGTTGTCGAACAGCTTGAGCCTGGCATTAATGTAGCGGTGAAACCTGCCAGAAGTCAAATCCTCGGCAAGCCTAGCATTGCAAGCAATGCATGGTTGCTCTTCTGGCACCCTTTAGCATCAAACGACATGTACAGAAAATACAAAAGTCAGCCAGCATCGCATGTGTGGCTGCACGGCCTTGCGAGCAATTGGTCATTACAACTCTCGGCGAACTGGGCGAATGCATCGAACGCTGACAGCCTGAGCGTCGCTGGTGCCCAAGATGCTTAGGAGCTCGTCGTCAGAGATTAAGTAGAATCGAGGGAACGCGGATCGCTTTGTATCCAAGTAGTCCTTCCCAGCATAGCACAAAGTACTCATAGTCGGGCAACCACTTGGCTCAAAAGACTGCTCTGCTTGAAATGCCCCATGCACTTTCGCAACCAAGTCGGTCCGTCAGTGACTTTTGGATCCTGGGCTTGAGGCGGAAAATCGTCGATGCAAAAACATGAAAAACATATCCGTGCCAAATTGCATAACAACATTAACAAAAAGGATCAGTGCCAATTGGCTGTGGCTCAAAAAACCGGTACCCAAAATGGAACCCTGGCAAGTGGAAACATGGACCACATCCTGCGGTTTGCCCCCCTCCCCTGTTTAATTTTGATTGCCACACCCAATTCCACTCTCTCAGTGCCAATGAGTGGCCGGTCGAACTCAGAGGTGAGGCCCTTGAACTCCTCTAAGCGACCATCCTGCACGGCGAGGCGCTCGTCAACCAACGAGGCCGTGGCACTCCCGGCTCGCTCTCATCTCCTGACAGCACGCGGAGAGCACCTGCGGCTGCGCCTGCGGGTAGCTCGCTTTTTTGTTTTTCTTTTTCTTTTTTTCCGCAAGCTTCTCGGCGAGCTTTATGGTTTGGTCGTAAATTGCGGTAGCCACTGGGAACCTCCATTGATACGGATCAACAATCCTTACATAGAGCTCTCTAAGCTGTGCTTGGAAATGAAAAATCGAAATAGGGGACCCCTTGTTGGATGGTTTCTAAAGGGAAACCACAAGGAAACCACCCGGATAAAATAATCCCCAAGGTTCCCTGCGATCTGTGCGAGAGATGCGGGGGCCCTGAGAAATGGCTTCTGACCGCGAGAAAAACCATCCAACTGGTGGTGTCCTTTATTCGGGGACCAAAGCCTGGGTTCATTCCCACTTATCGCACCAGCTAGTGACACCACAGCTGCGCCTGTGTTGCAGACATGATCTTGGTGTATGCTTTGTGGCATTTCAGGAACCTGCGACGTATTGGTCGGTGCATACGTAGGACCAACAAGGTCTGATCAGACCAGTCGACTTCCTCACTGGCTGGGGCAAGGGCTGCTTGGCTTGCTCTGGGAGCTGCATGCTGATGTCCTCAGATTGGACAGTCCAGACAACCCATGTACGAATTGATCGCTCACAGGCAATTCGCTGTCCATGGGTTGCTTGCTGAGATGCTTCGGAGTCAAGGAAAATGCTCTCCAAGTACATCCACTTCCTTTGCCATGAAATGGGTCGCCGCACATAAGCATGAGCCAGATGAATCAATAGCTGTCCTCTGGAGGACCATCCATGCATCGAAGACCTCAACAGCATGCGTTCCAATCAAGCAACCTACTGTGGACGGACGAGATCCTGCACCACCTAAGAAACCCCGGAATGATTCGATTCCCCTGTAAATACCAACAAACGTTCTGGTTTCAACCATGGTTCCTTTCGTGATGCCAAAATGGATTTCGATCTCGACCATCCACAGTATTGTCAAGGAGGGCCTCACTGACCACCGACAGATTCCTCTCCCAGCGCTTGATAGGCTCTGACCTACAAGCGAAACTCTGCAAACAGTCAGACTGCGCTCCCCTGAGCTCCGGGCAGCTTGTCAGCATACTTGGAGGAGCTCATTGACTGCAGCGTCAGCACATGGTCGTCCAGCGTCTGCTTCCTGCACAGCTCGCTTGTGTGGAGTTCTCTCCACTGCAAGCGCATCCAAATAAGCCGTTCAGGCACGCAGCGCTCTTTCTTCCACCGACATTTTTTCGGCCAAGGGACATCTCTTCGTTCGGCAGCAGGACGTAGCCTGACAGAGGCTCGGCGTGAAAAAATGGTCAGGTCAGCCCGAAGGCCGGCCTCGAGGATTTGCGGGCTCTCCCTTGTACCTCGCAATGTGGGTATGGGTCAAAATTAAAGCGCCGGGCGGCCGCAGGTTCTAATCCTTGTTTCTATTTGCCAGGGTTCCATTTCAATGGCACGGTCAATGCTGCCACCGTCTTGCGCAGGCGCACGGCTTCAGTGCCAATGGCATGGTGCGCCAGGTGCTGTCAATCTGCACAAAGCTGATTCAACACAAACGGCTGCAATCTGACATTGACCCTCAGGCGTGTTTAGCAGGCCCATCTGACAATTGCCTTGGCAAGCTCGCTCTCAATCTTCAGCTCGTTCTGTGCCTGATATTCAAGAGCATCACGACTCCACTAAGGAAGTACGAAAGCACATGCTGCCTTCTCAGGAAGCTGGGTAGATTTGGAGCTCAATCCTCTCGAGCCAAGATACAGTCACCACAAGCTCGTTCACTTCATCTGGGAATCGGTGAAGCTGCATCGCGAAGACAGCATTCAAGGTCATCTTCTTGATGTCGAAGTCTTCCTGAGAGCAAAGTAGCAACAAGACCTTGCCCATAATGTCAGCTTCCCTCTTATTGGCGGTTTGGATTGGTGGTTTGGTGGTTCAGGAGGGTTTCCCATGTACCCTCTACAAGAACCAGGGACCCGGTCAACTCCAAATCCACCTCCAACCACTCCGAACCAATCCAAACCGCCAATTCGCGGGTTGACATCTCTCATCTCTCATCTCTGCACGGTCGAATATGAGGCAAGGGCCGTTTCCACGCCGGCCAGCGCCATCAGCTCTTCCCAGTGCGTCTTCCGGATGGCGTCGCTCTTCAGCTGCTGGATCAGCGGAACCCCAGCCTGACAACTCCGGCTGCTCGGGGGGTTTCTGTCCAACATGGACATATGGCCATGGGTTGCATAGCCTATGGATTTCTCCATTTTCGGGTGGATGAACATCCATTTGCCACCCTTTTTCGACGTTCACCAGGGGTTTCCTGGGTTTTGACCCACAGCCATATTTCGACCGACTTGCGCAATTTTGTGCAGAACCCACAACTGTACAGGCCAAAAAAAAGTGGCTGTGGCTGGGATTTGGCAGCTGCTCACAAGGTTCGTTGCGTCGGATTAGAAAAAACATATAGGGAAAACCACCAAAAAGATGACTTACCCATGGTTCTAAGGGTTGAATCCGCATTCCTTCCAACCATCGTTCTTTTCGAAAACCGGGCCGTTTCCCGGGGTTTCCGGGGGGTTTTCTAGAAAGATCCGGATCCCTGGGTTTAGAATGGGAAAAATGCCGCTAGAAAAAAAAGGCGACTTCCCCACTTTCGTGGGAGAGAAGTGATGGTCCAAGCTGGGGGCCCTCTCAATGGACCCAGCGACCTGAAGGAAAGCCATCGCCTTGAAGGATGTCACCACCTCCTCCAGCTTTTGGAAGGTGGGCAGCTCTCCGAGCTCTTTCTGCTCCTTTCACACATGGCTTGTGGCTCAAAACCGTCTTGGCCAGTTTGGGGGGGCTTTCGGTGAATTCACCACCCATTTTTAGAATTCCTATTTTAGTGGTTGGATTGAAGCGGATGTTCACTGGGGGTACGATTCGGATTTTGACCCATGGCCAAATGGCACCAAACGGTAAATGGAAGCAAAGACTAAAACCTGCGGTTTGCCCTAGCTCTGATTATTTTTTTGAGCCACACCCACGCGTCGCAACGGAAACCCCCGTGGGCCACGCACCGCCGAACCGAACCGGCGGGTTTCGGCTTTGGCTCTCCTTGGGCATGCGCCTGACCTGCTTGTCGAAATCCTCCGCGCCCTTGGTCAGGGCATTGATGTCGAACTTGGTCCACAAGGCCTCGGATGGATCAAGGCCTCGCGGACGTCAGCAAGGATCACTCCACCAGCTTCAACTCAGGGATGTCGAGACCGGCTGCCACAGCTCGGAAAATCAAAAATACAACCATCAATCCTGGGAAAATCAAAAATACAAGCATCAAAACTAACGCCAAGAAAAGGCGTCGAAAAAATTGCGCGCCCAGGGCGCGTTGCTGAACTCGTTGACCATGGAGCTGTGGTCGATGTAGACCTTGTAGATCTGCTGCAGAAGCCTGAGGTCCTGCCAGGCAAACCTCCGCACATGCGCCGTCCTTCTGCAACCAGGTGATCTAATATCAATGGGTTCGGCGGGCTGCTGAGCTGAATTTCTGAGTGCTATCATGCACGGTGCGAGCACATTTAGTTTGGAACCAGAGACCAAAGGCTGGTGGGGCTTTGGGAGTCGAACATAGAAGCCAAAGGCAAAGACCCAAACCTTCAGTACCCTTCACATGTTTGCCCAATGCTGCTCCGCTTTGGCCAACCAAGCTCGCTGAAGCTGGATGAATAGACATGAACTCAGCCAAAAAAGCAGGTGCCTTTCCAAGTCATGGCTGCAACATCAGAGAATGAGCCACAAAGATGCACCAGCACAAACACCACACAAATCAACAAAAGCATGCGAACCTGCGCTATTCCTTGGATCACGACATCAGTATTAGGGATGGCCGGCGGCCGGCAAACGGACACGCAGAATTTGTGCTCCTCCAGAATACACACTTTAAAGGCACACCCTTTTGACGACTGGGCAGAGGTCCTCCCCCAACGGATAGTATAATGTGTGGGGGCGGCAATGATCAAAGGATGCCCCGATTCTTTCACGCCCTTTTTCTACTGTGAAAGCAGCCCAACTTGTTGACCATCTGCCATCTGGATGTTTTTGAGAGGAATCGGTCCCAAACAGGTGGCATTCTTGTGGTTTTTCTTTAAAAAAAAAAAAAGTACCCTCCCAAAAGACACGGCAACCTAAATATCGACGGGTCGGATGCGTTTGAGAAACTCCAATCTGGGTATTGGTCAAAATCAAACCACCAGGAAACCGCAGGGTTTAGTCACTTTTCCATTTACCAGGGGTCCATTTTGGGTACCTATTTTTGACCCTCACACCCATCTGACAGCTCCTTCTCAAGCTGCAGCAGCTCTGGGTACGTCTGGATCGGCAGGTTGAACAAGGTTTGCGCCTTCACCAGGTCCTCGAAACGGCGGGCGACCGGAAGCCCGCGCTCAGCCCGAAACGTAGGTTGTCAAAAGAGACATAGTCATGTACATCTACATATACATATACATATACATATGGCCATATATAAATATATACATATATATATATTATATATATATATGTGTGTATACATGTGTATATATATATATATGGCCACATATGATATATATATATATATATATGTATACATTGATCCCAGCATCATTGCACACTGCTTGAGCTCGAAACTGGCAGCTGACATGTTTTCGCATTTGAACTGCAAACAGAGAACACAAGCCACCTATGGTTGGCGCATCGCTGCCGCAGAGCTTGAATGGGGGCAAGTAAACAGTTTAGGCTCCCTCTCAACTCGCATATTATTACTAGAGGGCTTTTAACCCCATCCCATCCTCACGCTTCCTCTGGAACTGCTTGACATTGATGTCATACTTCTTCATCAATTCCTCAGCTGTCATCAATGAAGATCCACACAGGCAGGGTTCCACTTTGTGAGTATCCCAAGATAGACTTTAACTCAAGGGCTTTCCCTTTGAGGGAAACATCAACCACCGCTGGGTTTAAGTCTAATGGGGCAGTAAGTGGAACCCTGGTGGCTGCTTGGATCTTGAAGCACGACTGCTTACACATCGCCGGCTCATCAAGTGCCATGGCTCCACTCCTTCCTCCAGCGATACATCGGACCCAGGGCCTTCCCTCTTGAAGACCTGGCACGCGGTTTGCGCCGAAGATTCGTCGGTCTTGCTGACAACACTGGCCAGTTGGGGGAAAAATTGTCAAAGAGCTTGAGGCATGGCGCTTCTCAGTACTTCTGGAACCGACAAGACCGCACTAGTTGCTCTACGCTCTACCCAAGATCAAAAAACAACATGAATAGAAGAAAGAGCAAAACGTGCGCCAGCAGCAGTCTCTACCAAAAACCCCTCGCCTGCAGCAGCTCCTTGCACTCCGTGGAGAAGTCCCCCACCTCGCTTCGGAATTGCAGAGAGACGAAGCAGCGAGAGGACCGCTGGGCTGGCGAATGGCCATGGGTCGCATCCCGGCAGAACCTATGGGATCCCATTTTGGGGTGGATGAACATCCGTTTTACCACCTATTTTGATGTTCACCAGGGGTTTCCTGGGTTTTGACCCACAGCTAAATGACAACGGTTACCCCCCAAGTGAACATCCCAATCCCCCACTAAAATAGGTTTTAAAATGGGTGGTGCACCGAAAACCCCAAAATGAGATCCGATTGGTGTTGACCCACAGCCAAATGACAATGGAATAGAAAGCCGGTACAAATACGCCAGGGTTATTTTTTGGGTATGAAAACAAGGAAAACGATCTGTCATTTTGGGGGGTTCCCTAAAAAATGATACACCCATTTTTCAGTTCGACGCTCGACATCGAGAATCAGGTGACCTAAGTGATTGGCCTGCTCCTGCGTGACCTGTGAGAAGTGTTCCTTGACCTCGGACCAGCTGATCGGCTTCTGCAATCATTGCACTCGATACTCGCTTTCCAGAACTGTTATTTTTGATAATGGTCCACTTCAGAAGCAGGTGGACATAAATCCCCACCTAAACGGTTTTCATTAGCGGGTCCCCCATGAAAATTCACCCCCATATCTTGAACCTCCACTTAGCCATTTGGCTCTCTCGGTGCATTTCTCGGGGCCCATCTCTCACCATTCGCCGATCCTTGGTCAAGGCCTCATCCTGACAAATGGCGACGCTCAAAGCACACCCCATGGTCATGGCCATGGCTTCCTTCCACCCTTGCCCACCCAGTAGAATCGTGCTTTGACCAACCGCAACCCGTCCTTCAGCAAACGCCACATCTCTGACAAAGCCTTTGCATCTTCATACTCCTGACAGATCTGCAGGTGAGTCATGGACAAGATGAGTGGCTATTACTGGAAGTGCGCAATTAGCGGCCCCCTTGGATTCGTGCTTGTTCTTTGTGCCAAACTCATGTGGCTGTGAGTCAAAACAATGGTACCATTCTGGGGTAGGTGCACCTTTTAGAACCTATCTTAGTAGGGATTGGGATGTTCACTGCAAAATAACCGGGATTTTGACCCATGGCCGTGTGCTTAATGTGGTTTTGCTCGGATGCTCTAACATGAACACGGCCTGCAGCTCGAAGTGGCAGTTGTACAGCTCCAGGGTGCGATATCTCTCTCGCACATCCTCAGCGAAAGCCGGCGAAGCAGCAGCACAGGTGAGCCACGGTCAAAATCACTTGTTCCCCCTAGAAAACATGGGAGGTGTCACAATTCTTCTGGTTGTCGTGTGAAATTTAGTGTCCCCCCATGGCTCCCAAATGGATCGTACACTGTTGGACATGTGGACCGAACCTCATGGCTGTGGGTCAAAATAGGTACCCTAAATGGGATCCTGATAAGTGGAAACATGGACCAAAACCTGCGGTCCCCTGATAAAACCGCCTCTCCAAAAACTGGACCGGACAGTCCTGCATCCGCAGTTCCATGTCCATAGACACTGCCAGGATCTTGGAGATGACGCTGAGGATGAACTTCCTGTCGCTTGCCGAAAAAAAGAAGAAAAAAGGACAAAGGACGTCCCCACAAGGTCAGGTCCCTGTAAAGCCAAAAAACAAACCGGAAAGAATACTTCCCCACAAATTAAAGGTCGGCGGACGTGTCAAAACAAGCCAGCGCCGCAGCTTGTCCAGCGAATCGGGATTCTCTTGCAAGTCATCCTGATGCCAGTTTCAGCAATATACCATCACGTGTCACTTACAAGAAATGTAGCCCCTGGTTTTGTGGGAATTTGGTCGGCCCCCCCTCCCCCCCGGCCTCACTAAACAAACAAACATATGCGACTTGCAGCTAAGGCCGGCGCACGGAACTCTGTGATCTCTGCTTGAATCTTTGTCAAGTCCTACGGCTCTCGCAACTACAAAAAATACAAGTGCTTTGTTGAGGGTGTTGTTCTCGTTTTCTCGGCGCATACTCGCATCTTTGACTTTTTGAACTGGTCTTCCCGCTGCGTTCAGCGCTTCCCTCGGCCTTATAGGCCAACTGCCGGAGGATGTCGCCATAACCGGCCACCCAATCCATTGCCTCGCCATCCGACACTCGCGTTCCGTTGTTTGACCCCAAAACCTGGGGGGTCTCGACCGCCTCAGTCACTCACACGGGTTCCATTGTTTGCCGACCCTCAATCCCAGGGTTCTGAAATGGACCCACCCTGGGTCTAAGGTTTGCTTGGGTAGTCAAAAAAAATTAAAATGGTGAATCTTACTCATACTCACTCATACTCACACGTGCCTGTGTTCTGATGGCGGCGACGATGGAAGTGCAGTCAATGCGCACAAATCCGATGTCCTGCATATGCATTCTCACAGCCTTCTCCATTGTATTCAACGCTCAGTACGGTCCCCTTACTGTAGCAGACTCTGGATTCGTCCTTTGGCCCAAGTACGCCAACACCTGCCAACTTGCCGCTGCATTGCCGCGTCCTTCTCCGGCGGATAGGCTGCCAAGCTATCAGCCAAACTCTTGTAGACCTCAACAAAGCCATAACTGCAGGGGGGCGTCAACACAAATCCAGACTATGAGGATCCTGCACAGATGTGGGCATCGAAGAAGACGAAGGGAGGGCGCTTCTCCCTCACCTTCTCCAAGTCTTGCTTCCACTTTGGGTCCTCAGCCACACGCATGTGGGGTTAAAATGGCCATGGGTCAAAATCCGAATCGTACTCCCAGTGAACATCCGATTCAATCCAACCACTAAAATAGGTTCTAAAATGGGTGGTGCACCTACCCCAAAACGGTACCATTGGTCTTGACCCACACCCAAATCTCTGCGCATTGCAAGCCGGAAAATGAGTCTTCATCATTCCCAGGCTCTGCTTGCTATGCTAGATTCTTAGATCCACCCAGATGGGTGTGTCATTTGGACAAGACATCTTGGGCCCCAGACCCAGAGCTTCCATCGATCCTCGTAGCGCTTCCAGTGCCGCAGGAACTTGTCCTCGGCTGAGCTTGCGATTGCTGTTCAAATGGCTGTGGGTCAAAAATGGGTCCCCAAAATGGGACCCTCGTAAATGGAACCAAAGACTAAAGCATGCGGTTTTCTGCTGGTGGTATTTAGACCCATACCCAGATGCAGGGAGTGAGAAATGGAATGAAGGTTAGGGATAGTCCCATGGTTGCCAAGGGAATGAGAAATGGAATGACCCAGAGATCAACCATCCAACTGGTGATTCATGAGAAATGGAATGAGCCAAATCTAAACTATCCAACTGGTGGTGTCCTTTATTCGGGAATCCCTGGAGAAATTCCCATATTCCCTACTTATCACACCAATCGCAAGTGAAAGCACTTGCAAGAGGTCGAGAGGTCCAAGACTCGCTGTGTCTCAATCGCTGAGCAAGACAAACGCCCTACTTTTTGTTGATGTCCAAGGTACGGTATGATACGAGCCTTCAACATGGCTAGCATTGGTTGCGGCCGACTTTGCAGTTGAGACTCTATGATGGAGAAGATCTTCTGAATGCTGTTCTGAATGTTAATCGTCATGTCGAAGAGCGCTGGGTTGTCCTTCCGCCAACTTCCACGGCCAATCTCTGCGAGTGGCAGATCATGGCATGCAGCCATGGGTCAAAAGCCCGTACCCCCAGTGAACATCCCAATCCCCACTTAAATAGGCTAAAATGGGTGGCACCTACCCCAAAATGGTAGCATGGGTTTTGACCCACAGCCATGTGTCAAGACCCGAACATGGGAGATCCCACCGGAATGAGGTACTGCCTTCTGCCTTCGACTGGCTGGCAACTGCTTAAAGAAAAAGGCGCCTTGACGTCGCGATAGAAGGTGAACCTGAAAAAAATGCAACCCCAAATGGGTATGGGTCAAAATTAAACCACCAGGGACCGCGGGTCTCCATTGACCAGGGCAAGCCATTTTGGGGTTACCCCATTTTTGACCCACAGCCAAATGGCCATGGGTCAAAAGCCCGTACCCCCAGTGGACATCCCAATCCCCACTACAATAGCCTAGAATATATGATTCACCTACCCCAAAATGGTACCATTGGCTTTGACCCACAGCCAAATAGCACAGGATTCCAGCAGCGTAAAATACGTCGAGCGGCATTTGCTGCTGCTCATCCTCCTGGCCAGGCTGCGGAGGGACCTCGCAGATGCGGTTTGTTCGGCATTGAGTGCAGGAGCCTCCAGTTTTAACAATATGGAAAAAAAAAAAAAAAAAAAAACTTTTTTGGACATCATTGACATGGGGACGTGTGTCCACCAGCCACTTTTGAAATCATTCCTCTTTTAAATTCATATCGCGTCATCGCGTCCACAGCTCACAGCTCAGATCGCCACCATGCGGCAGGTTCCATCCTTAGGCAAGTGTGGCCCGCTCCAGACATCCCACCCTCCAGCTCCGGCCCGACGAAGAAGCTTCGTTCGGCTGAGATGAGAACCATCCACCGCACAAATGACTTGGCAGACTGGATGGTGTTTTTCAGCAGCTTGCTGATCAGTCTGAAAACCTCAGAGCGCAAGAACAATGGCAGGTGGAAATTCACACCCACCAACACAAAATTGCACCAAGATCCTGGCAGACTGCAGGGCATTGTCGTCGATCTCTGCGCCGTTGCAGTCTGCCTTCACTCGCAGCAACGGCGGCCTGCCAAGCAACCAGTTTGACACTTGTGGCAAAGCTGGCCAGCCCGTGCCTCTTGCGCTCACCAGCGCTGAAAAGCGTCTGGAAGGTGCTCATTCCTGGAAATAGAACACCACATTGAGTTAGGCTAGTGCTTTTATCTTCCGGTGTCTCAACGAGTCATGTGGAACGACCTTCCAAAGGCTTCCTCGCAGCAGCATGGTGGTAATGGCGTTGAAAATCCGGCGTTCCCAGTAGTGGTAGTACCTCGAAAGCAAGCCCCAGGGATTACATTTACAAGCACATGGCTGAAGGGCTGAAGACATGCGCAACATGACCAGGCAAAAACAATTGGAGATACCCTACCACCAACCAACATGGAAGTGCACAAAGCCCCTTTCCCAAGAGCAAAGTAGTCTTTCTACAGGGGCCTGTGCACTTCCATGTTAGTCGGTGGGAGGGTATTAGCATTTGTCCGAATTGAGGCCTTTTGTGGCTTGGAGCACTCCGCCATGGACGGGGCCATCCCTGTCTTTGTGCCCGCAGTGGTTTCCTGGGCCAAAGCTCAGAATGTGGACTGCTCCCTCTGCTGAAAGTCCAATTTGCGGGTGAAATGGAAACCCAACCACTAAACCCGAAAAGCCCAAAAGACAAAAAAAAAAAACGGATGGCCGAGAACCCTCAAGCGCTTTCGGTCATCCAATTTGCTATGGAGCCGCCTCGATCTTCACCAGGAAAGGCCCGATGGAGTCGTACTTCTTCCTCAGGTACCAAATGATTCGAATGCTGGTGTGGGTTTATGTTCGAAATCTAAACGCCGCGGCAAGTGTTCAAAGGGTTGGGTGCAAAGTCTCAACCGACTGATTTACCCTTCCACCAATCCGCATGGAACCTGACAGGGGGTCCCTTTAAACGGAACATGGTCTTCCAGGAGCCCCCTGTCAGGTCCATGTTCATCGCTGGGAAGGGATGTTTTTCGGACTTACTGATTCCCGAGTCTGTCCTTGTCGGCCTTGGACATCTTACAAGCCACAAATGGACCACACCAAAATCATCAAAGATCAAGCAACAAAAACATAAGATACGAGCTTTGTGCTGCTCAAGTTGATATGGGTATGGGTCACAATTCAGCCAGGGATTGGACCGCAGGTTTTTTCTTTCTCCTTGTTTCCAATGACCGGGGCAAGCCATTTTGGTACCGATGTTTGACCCATGCCCATACTCCCAACTGGGCCTCCTTCGGGCCAAACCAAACTTCTCGCCAAGTGTCACCAAATCTTCCAGCTGCGACAGGCGATGCCTTTCACGCTTGCCAGGCGGAATATGGCTGTGGTGGTCAACACCGTTTTGGGATCCCATGTTGGGGTTTTCGGTGAATTCACCACCCATTTTAGAACCTCTTTTAGTGGCGATTGAATCGGATGTTCACTGGGGGAGAACCGACATTTTGACCCATGGCCATATGGGATCACCCCATGAAACGTGCATCGGCCTCTCGAAGAACTCGCCGAACTCCATGTGGTCCATGACATCAGCGCGATTCCAATCGAAGGGCCTGTCAGTACCCTCTGTTTCATGATGTGTTGGTGGCTGCGTTTCTTTGAAATGCAAAGCATCTGTTTGTGGGATCAACGATGTCAAACAAAAACCACTTGGGAGACTCGCGCCACAACGCGGTATGAAATGCAGAGCCGCCTCACAAGCGTCGCATTCTCGATGGCGGTGACCACATTTGTGATGCGCTCCTGCGACATGGTCAACCTGTCGACTAGATCAGCTGAGCGTATGTTGTCTTTCTGGGGAGGCCGTGCGGTGGATTACCTGACATGGAAGTGCACAGACCCCTGTAAAAAGGTTACTTTCCTCGTGGAAAGGGCCTTTTTGCACTTCCATGTTAGTTGGTGGAAGGGTAACAAGCTAGTCTGACTAAAAATCAAATTGTGCTCTCAATGCCCACATTGCGTGTGGCACCCATGGTCATCCCTGGCAAGCCATCCCAGCTATCCCCAGCCACCTGCCACTAGTCACTATGCTAGGCATTCGTCTTTCCCTACGTCATTGGACACTTTCCGGGTGCAAAACGCGTAGCTCATCTCCGCGAATGGCTCGGCCGCGGCGCCAGCAGCCATGAAAACCCGCAGCTTGCTTGGACATGAGCAATCGGTGTGCGTGATGTCAACCAGGAAGGTCGTCCACAATCTGGAAGGTCCAAGTTGCAGGCTGGCAGAAAGTCATACGGCGAGCATGATGTTCATGCTGGATCTGGATGAAGTTGGCTCTGCCACAGGGCTGAAAATAAGGATATCCACTGTGCAGGTGCGGAGCTGCGAGCCTCCATCCTCCGAGATGTGCACACTTTTCAAGAATATCCCCTTTGCTGCAGCTTCTGCAACCAGTACTTCCAGCACGTACTTGCAATCGTTCCGCAACTCCTCCAATATTCTGAGGTGAAAGCGCTGAGGTCCCCGCAGCACATATTTTTCTCCCGCGTCCTCCTCCTCTTCCGCCTCCAATTTGCACTTCTCACAGACCCTTTGACGTGAATCAGACTTGGTTTTCTTAGGCGAGTCGTCCACTCGTCCTCAAGAACTGCGCAGTCCCAGAATCCAGTCCATTCCGACAATTCCAGGAACTCGTGGATGGCCCTCCTGGAAATGTCACCTGCGAGATCTGCAGCGACCTTCTGCTCAATCTGCACTTGCCTGGCGCTTCTTGTCAAACGTGGCACCGATCTTCTGCAACTCTATAAGGCAAGTTTTCAGCTCTTGGAGACAGGTCTTTCTTGGCTTCAAGCGTGTCAGTGCCGTTGCATTTTCCGACAGAAGCCGTGACCAAGGTGGATCATCCAAATTGCTGACCAGCCTCCGCATAAGGTACAAGTGTAACTAAGAGAATTCCACAGACCGGACCCGTCTCTCAGCTGCAAAACTAAGTTGCCCAGGCTGCGACATTGCGTGCAACAGTGTCCAAATTTGTGCAGGTTCCAAGTTCCGGGAGGGTAAAAATCAGGCATCTTGTGCGCATGCAATCTCTTCCAAAGTTTCCGAGAAAGGCGGAAATTGGGCTGCGCATACGTCAGAGTGCACAAAAACAGAGAGATGCATCCACACGGCGTTGAGCGCAATACCAGCAAATCACGTCCCAGCAATGTCGACGATGGATAATTGCTTTCTGTCGAAGACGCCAACTCCTATCAATGTGCTCTCGCCAGATTTGTTCCTTGACTTGTACACAACGTGCGGAGCGTTGGTTTGAGCCAAATACAGCATTCATCTGCAACAACGTCTTCAACATCTACTGCACAGAAAGTTTTGCCCTTGAATGCATGTCACCTGCTTTTGGGACATTCTACATCGGCTGATCAAGGTCGTCTACAGCTCATCACACAGGCCATCGAATCCAAACGCGTCGCGCCGCCGCTTGCGCTTCACGAGTTTTTGCCAGCAATATTTTGGCACTCGGCCCTCTGTCTTGAATAGTTTTGTCGTCTTGGTCTGCGAACACCTTTTTGGCAATGCCCCAGGCCGAATCTTGAAGTCTGAGGCAGCATCCTCTCCAGCTTTGTAGTGTGGTGCCCGCCAGCCTCGCGCAACCAGTCTGCACCACACCGCCGACTTTGCACCACTCTCCCCAGCCAGCCTTGCGCACCGAATCTGCACCACACGGCCGTCCCCCCAGCCAGCCTCGCGCAACCAGTCTGCACCACACCGCTGACTTTGCACCACTCTCCCCAGCCAGCCTTGCGCACCGAATCTGCACCACACGGCCGTCCCCCCAGCCAGCCTCGCACAACCAGTCTGCGCCACACACGGCCGTCCCCAGCCAGCCTCGCGCCAGTGTGCACCACACCACCGTCCCCCCAGCCAGCCCTGAGATTCGTGGGTGTCCACCACCCGGCGACGGGAGCTTTGATTGAAGCCACGCCTTGTGCCAATCATTGAGCCAAAAAGCAAGCGGATCTCTGCAAGGTAAAAGGATGTAAATGCCACCAGCCCAGCATGCAGCACCCTCTCCTCACTCTTCTCCACTTGATCTCGGAAGGCGCCGCGGAACTTGGTGATTCCCTGGTTGCCAGCCTCACCCGCAGTTCTCCCCCCGGAAAAAGAAGAACAAAAAGTTCCCGCGCACATGGACTCCATCGATGTGCATGTGCCAGGCGCGCCTCGATGAAGTCCTTGATGCCCAGGGAGTTCCAATTCAAGGGCGACAAGCCAGGACCTCCGGCCGCTTGATGTCCGAGCTCCGTGGAACAGGCGAGTCTCAGAAACGGTAAAAGGGCACCTGCTGGGGGACCTAGTTGCCTCAGGACCTGCGAATGGGTGGAAAAAGCTGACCAAAGGTTCACCTGGTCAAAATCAAAACCCGGCAGAAGAATGGTCGGCCCAGAACCATTCTTCGAGAATTAAGAAGGCGGAGACCCGCAGCTATTTCTGGCTGCCGTCTCTTGCTAACCTTCGTCTACCCGAGAAGACGAGCAGTGAGCTCCGGGCTCAAGCACTTGTCCAGTTCCAGGATCTGCTTCCGCAGCAGCTTCCTCATCCGGAATCTCAATGCAACAAATGGGGGGTGTCTTTTTGGGGGGGAATTCCTTTCCGATAACCACAAACGGAGTACCTTCCAAAAAACGACAGACCCCTTCCCGGTCGCTCAATCAGTCTCGGCCCAGGCTCTGCTGCACAGGCGACAGGTCACCCACCGCCGCGTTGTAGGCGTCGATCAGCAGGTCCAGCTGCTCCACGAACTCCTAACCCATGGGTACTATCTTGCTTGCTGCAACGACCCCCCTGCAAAAAGTTGACAACTTTTTGGGGGGGGTTCGTGGAAAACCCTTTTTTGGGGCTCAAATTTGGGGTTACGCTACTGTGGATGGACGAAATCCGTTCGCACCACTTTGAATCCATACAAAACCATTGTTTGCTGGTATTTACAGGGGAATCATATTCCAGGTCTTCTCAGGTGGTGCAGGATAACCAAAACCGATGGGTATCTCCAGATGGGTCCCAAAAACCCATAGGTTTTACGAAATCTTAAAAGGCAGATACACTCAAGTGGTCCCAAAACCGGTACTATGGTCCCAAAACCCGTGGCTTCTAGGAAATGGACCGGACTCAGATTGGTCCCAAAACCCAGGGAAATTAGAAATTGAAAGTTTCTAGCAAATTAACGGTATCTCTGAAATTAACGGTATCTCTGAAAAGGCGGATTCCGGAGATCCGCACCATGGTAAGGGTCATTCCATGTCTCATGTCTCATTCATTTGCCTCTCGCAGCAAAGCCCAATGATTAGGAAATTCCATGGGCGGAGTTCGGTCCGCACAGATTGGTCGGGGGCCACGGGGACTCTGCCAGACCTTCATTTGACTCATAATCAAAACCCGGCAGAAAAATGGTCGACCCAGAACCATGTAAAGGATTAAGAAGCCGGCTGCAACTATTTATGGCTGGGAGTCTCCCTTACTAACCTTCATCGGGTTTTGAGCACGTGGCTCATTTCGCCCGGGTCAATCGGATGGCTCAGGTCAGCGGCGGATGAAAGCCCTTCGGCGCCTTGTACTGATCCTGCTGGAGGGCAACGTTCAGAACCTCGCAGGGCTTCCCTTCGACCCCAAGAGCAAACCCAACTTCGAGCCATCTTTCAAAAGCCAGCGACCCCTGCCCCAAGGAAATCATAAAGCGAAGCCCGACAACAAAAAAAAGAACAACCATCCACCTCTGGAAGGCACCCTTCCATCAGGATATGTATATATATATATATATATACTTCGGCCACCGCCGCGCGCTCGCTCGCAAAAAAAAAGAAACAACACATAAACAGGGAAAAAAATGAAGAAGAAAAAAGAAGAAAAAGATCGATCGCTCGGTGCAGCTCAAAGCGGCCGTGTGAGGCAGCTCGAAGCCGCCCAGCTGGTCCAGGTACTTGGCCTCCCGAATCAAGAGCTGCAGCTCCTGCAGGTCGGTCGGGGGGGGGGCTCGGGGGGGCTCGGGGGGTCGGACCGAGCCAGAGAAACATGCGGGCAGCGTTTTGGAAGGAACCGGGGACTGCGAACCAATGTAAACTGATCCGAACCAATCCGAACCAATCCAAACTAATTCAAACCAATCCAAACCAATCCAAACCAATCCAAACCACCAATTCGGAAGCTGACCTGTTGAAAGGAGGCCAAAGAAAACTCGGCAAGACGCACGGGACGAGAGACTGGTGCAAGAGGTCAAGTCGCCTGAAAACTTCTCTCGGTCCTTCGCGAAGTTCACCTTGTACGCTCCAGTGCGAGGGTCCTTGATCAGCACGTTGTACCTCAGAAACCGGAAATGGCTGTGGTGGTCAACCCCCTGTACCCCCAGTGAACATCCCAATCCCCACTAAAATAGGTTCTAAAGTGGGTGGTGCACCGAAAACCCCCAAAATGGGATCCCATTGGTTTTGAGCCATGGCCATTTGGCAGTGCTTCAAAAATCGGGTAACCCCCAAATGGCAAGAGCCCTGGAAAGTGGAGCCATGGACCAAAACCTCCGCCAGCTCGCTCGCGCAGGGGCGGAAAAAACCACGACAACAAAAACCTCCACGCCCGGGCCGCCGAAAAAGCCGTGGGCCGAAAACGCCTTAAACGCCTTTGAGCTTTTGAAAAAAGCCTGGCTGATCCTTCCGCCCCGTTCCACGCATGCGATATCCCCCCCCCCGAACCGCTGATCCGGGGTGCTTCAGGCTCGACACGGCCAGCTCCACGGCGGTGGTCTGCCACGCTTCGAAGAGGGCCTGCTCCTTAGCTCGGCGTGGGCCAACACGTGCACCACTTCGACTTCTGGAAGCGGCTGGGAGCCCCATGGCATGTGGCTATGGGTCAAAAGCCCGGTCTTTTCCCCCAGTGAAGATCCCAATCCCCCACTAAAATAGGTTCTAAAATGGGCGAAAACCCCCCAAAATGGTACCATTTTGACCCACAGCCACGTGCACCACCTTCGAGTTCTGTCACACATAGCGGCTCTGACCCCATGGCATGCGACAATTTTTCTCTAGATGCCGCCCAGGAGCATACTCCAAGATCTCCTTGCCCAGCTCCACGTACTCCTTGCGGGATAGAACATGGTGGCCAGGGCCAGCGAGTCACATCCACCTTCTGTTTATCACTGGCCACTCGGTCCTTGCAGGCCTGCTGTCCTTCTGGAAGCTGCAACCTGGCAAACAAAAACACGTTGGCCCATCCACCCTCCCGACCCTCCGCCCGTGACCCCAAGGACCCAGGCCCCCCAACCCCTCCCCCATCGGCCCCCGGCCCTCCCCCCTGGCCCCCTGGCCGCATGGCCCCATGACACCATGGCCCCATGACTCCATCAGGGCCCCATGGCCCACCCGTTTTCCACTGCCCCAGACAAGCGCGAGGGCAGAGCAGCTGCGGCATCGTCTTGAAGGAAAGGATGGGCCGCTTGGCGCGGTGGAAGATGCTCCGAGCCTCCAGCACAAAACCAGCTGCGAGGCGCGAAATTCCCAGCTCCAAGCTGAACCGTGGCGCCGGGCCCACAGGATGGCCCCGGCCGTGGGCGGCGTGCTCTTTGAGATGGGCGGGTTTTCCTGTGCAACAGGAAAATACGCAGTCCGCCCTGGAAGTCCCAAAATCTGCTCACTGGCCTTGTCCCTCTGGAAGATCTCTTTCAGCTTGCCCACCTCGACACCTTGGCAAGACCGAAAGCCGATGCAGCCACTTCAGCAGACAAACATGCGACTGACACTATGGCACTGGCCATATCGCAAAAGAATGGCCACAAACTTGTCGTTCATCTTCTTGTTGATTTTCTCTCCTTGGAGTGATGGAGGTGGTGCTGCTGGTGATGGTGGTAATAGTGGTTAGTGGTGATAGTGGTGATAGTGGTGATAGTGGTGATAGTGGTGATAGTCGTAATAGTCGTAATAGTGGTGATAGTGGTAATAGTGATGATAGTGGTGATAGTGATGATACGATGATGATGATGATGATGATGATGATGATGATGATGATGATGATGATGATGATGATGATGATGATGATGATGATGATGATGATGATGATGATGATGATGATGGTAGTGATGCTGATGATGATGGTGGTGATCGTGATGGTGCCAGCAGCGGAGGCGTGATGGGCAAGCAAACAAATTGAGGGGAACTGAGGGATCAGCGTGACTCGATGTTCTTGAAGTTTTGAAGCAATTTGAAGGCGCCCTGGCCAGAATCAGACGCTCGTAGAATGGCCACAGCAACGCGAAGCAGACCTCTGCAGATCGCAAATTCTGGAAAGAGCGGTTCCTCGGATTCTGCTTTCAAGCGCACAGGAACGGCTTGAGCCGTTGACTGCATTGTGAACCAAGCGCATGCGGTTGAGGCGCAAGAACTTAATCGCCCGCTCTTCAATCACACCAACCTTCTCCTTGAACCTCACGGCATACTTGCACCGGACACTTGCGGACTGGCACCACAGGCTGCTTTCCTCTGGATGGAGCTTTCCCAGTGAGGCTGGTTGAAGTCATCGAACACGTTCTTCACATTGCCTCGCATGTCCGGCTTTCTAGGCAACGAGGCGTCCTTCATCTCACGCAACCCCCGTAACTCGCGAGGCCCGGGCGGAAGTCCGTCTTGAGCGCCTCCACCTCCTTCAAGAGCTGGTCAATGCCTGCCATCCGAACAGCGCAGAGCCCAGCGAAGTACAAGTGGCTGTGGGTCAGAAAGGTGCCCAACATGGCTTGCCCGATCGGTAAGTAGCAACATGGACAACCTGTGGTCCCCTGGTGGTTTAATTTTGAGCCATACACAAGTCCGGCCTTGTGAGTCTCCGGTGACCTCTTTCAGCTCTGGCCCCAAGAACTTGTAAAACCTCCAGTGAGACATGGTCATGGGCTTTTCAAAAGCCAAATCGTACCCCCAATGAACATCCGATTCAATCCCCAATAAAATAAAGTCTATAATGGGTGGTGCACCGAAAACCCCAAAATGGGATATCATTGGTTTTGACCCACAGCCACATCTTGTCGCAATCTCGCTGGTTCGATAGACATGGAATGAGCCCGAGATAAACCAACTGGTGGCTTCGTTTGAGGGAATCCCATACACGGTTCATTCCCAAAACCCTGGGCCATTCCGCAACTGTTTCCTTTCTTCGGGAATCCCCGAAACCGGTTCATTCCCCACACCCGGACTCGGGAAATTCGCTCTCAACTGGCCATGGGTCAAAATCCCGGTTATCCCCCAGTGAGCATCCCAATCCCCACTAAAATAGGTTCTAAAATGGGTGGTGCATTCCGAAAACCCCAAAATGGGATCCCATTTTGACAACCACAGCCAACCGAGCACAAGCGCAAGGCCTCTCAACATAGCCATGCTGAGCGCAATGCTGGTCCAGCACCTGCATGATCTCATAGAGGTTGGTGCAAATCTTGGACCTGGCATCCCAGCCGTGGGAGACTGCTTACTTAGATGGTCTGGGACTTAGCTAAACGGTTCGTAACCCTAGCTACAGGGGACTTACAACCATCGCAGGTGGGTTACAGGGTTCCTAGTCCTTTGGCGAACTCCCAGACCATCCAAGTACCCCGAATCTAAGCAGAACCCGTCCTATGTTTAGGGGATGTCCCCTGCGAAAGTGCTCTGAATCCCCACTCAAAGGGGACACATCCCCCCTACGAATCAACCAGGGGTGATTCATCTTGGGTCAAGAAAGTCCCTGCTCCGTGCGTCCAATCCAAAGCCAGCAGCGCATGTACCCAGTCTTCTTGAACAACAGCGTTCGGTCAAAGTCCCAACCTCCATCACTCGAGGGCAACAAGTGGTAAGACAAGCCAAATGTGACTTTTCTGAGCTGGCAAACAAGCACCGCACGCTGGTTGGTGGCGTTTTCCTCCATTTTGTCCCGGGTTGTCAAGTAGATCTCATTCCATTTCCTTACGCATTGATTGAGAGAAGCATTCTCCCTCCACACAGGGAAGGGCTCATCTAATATCAACCCAGTCTCTCCAGCGCATTCCGTCCATCTTCAATGATCTGCATTGCCTCGCGAGAGGCACATCAGCGCCTGCTGATCGAGGCACATCTGCGTGCCTTGGGCGGGTCCAATGACAAGATCTGGTTGATGTTGATTTGCTCCTGACAGTTTTCAGTCTCAACCTCCCGCACGAACCGAGGCAGAGGGGACACAGGGCAGCGCTCCTGAACCTTGTCCGCAATTTGGTCCGCGATGCGCTTCATCAAAGGCTCCATGTACCTCGCCGCTACGGAGTTCTGGTTGCTGGGCCCGCGCCCCACGTCGGCGACGAGTCTAAGCTCCCCGCTTGTCGGAGTTGAAGTACCGAGAGATGATCCACACCTCTGCAGCGGCAAGCAAAAGAGCAGCGCATGCTCAAGTCATCTGCTGCCAAGGGACCATTCGAATGGCGTTCATCAAAGAAGGGAGCGTTTCCTTGGCTCTCAACTCAAATGGACTACACTGTCTCCGCAACAGGACTAGCTTTGGTGGAATGAGCGCATCTCACTTGCCTGGCAGCCGGGTGGGGGTTCAGGAATGATAAATGCACCGGCGCTTGCCAGTCAAGGCTCCACGATGGTCTGCATGGATCCGGTGGCAAGACTCTTGAAGTGGCGCCTTGGCAATGTTAAATTATCTCGAAAAGAACTGCTGGTCTCATCCCAAATTCTGGTTGAGGTGCTCCAAAGTGGTCAGGAACTTCACATTGTCCTCTCCCACTCAATGTGCCCATCTTTGACTTGCGCGAGGGATGCGCGATTTGTCGGGGCGTTGCCTTCGAACTGTTTCAAACATAGGTGGCCTTCTGGACAAATAGATGGCCCTGGTAAATGGAATAAACCCCATCTAAACCAGGAATCGCCCTCTTTGTTATAAGCAAACCATCCAAAAAGGACACCTCTATGGTTCAGAACACCGCTTTGCTTGAAGGCATGTCCTTGGCCACCACATGCATCTGCTGCAAGGATCCGAACTGATCCTGGCAGTCGCAAGTGTCAAAAATCCGATGTCCCATACTTCAAGGCCTGAAACTGCTGCAAGACAGGAGGCTCGGAGGCTTCCAACACTTCCAGGACCTGCCATCTCATGGGAACGCAGCCACTGACAATCAAAGACTGTCAGTGTGAGTTGCAGGGAGAAAGACAGCGGCAGCAGCGACGACGAAAATGGCGAAGAAAGCAACCGGCAATGGCAAATGACGACACCGCCACGAGGACGACGACGACGACGACGACAATAACAACAGGGGAGGCGTTGGTGGAGGACAATTGGGGAGGTTCCCCTTTGCTTTCACTGCGCCCCCCCCCCTGCCTGGAAGCCTAAAACTCAAGTCAGAAAGCTTGAGGCAAGCTAAACTCCAATCATTTCGGCGAAGATTGTGTGGTGACACGCAAGTGCATTCGAACCAGCAACCGGCCACAACCGGAAAAGGCGGCCGCAATTTTGTTGGAACCACTCCTATTGGCACCAAGAGGGCCCCACCTTCTTCACGCCCGGCAGCTGCAGCTGCTCATAGACCGTCGAAACCTCGCGACCCGAGAAATCTGCCAGGTCCGCACGGAGAGCGCCCGAACTCAGCGCCTTGGAGGAGCGGTCCCTCCAGAAGTCGATCTCTGCCATGGGGAAGCAGCTCTCATACTGCCGCTTCCCTTCCTCAAAAAAAACATGCACTGAAGTTGCAGAGATGGGCGAGGCAAGGCGGGGCCTCAATGAGCACCTTTTCAATGATGTTGCTCCACTCGGTCACAGCCTGGCCGACTGGCAGACTGGACCTTTTGTTGGACATCCCGAAGGGGTGGGAATGCGCCTGCTCGAGAATCGACAGGACACTGGGATCATGGCGAGCTGCTTCCATATCCTGTCAAAGCAGAGGAGCTCTGCGCTCACTTCTGACATGGTCACACCAAACGCTGCAACTCCAAAGCTCAAGTCTAACACCAAAGGCAGCCTCCAAGTCCACTGCAGGTATCCGAATGTTCACGTTGCCGTATACCTCCGCCAAACAGGAAACGGCAAAAAAAGTGTTGGATACTCGACGCGTTACTCGCGCCTGCACCACGGTCTGGTGCACATGCCCGGTGAATCGCATGGTGTACCCCAAGATCTCGTCTTGGATGTGCGATGGCCTTCAGCGCTGTGAATGTAACAAACGTGTCCAACGGGTTGGACAGCAACTGGGGTCATCATTTTGACGGTTTCTCGGGGTTATCAAAGTCAGTAAATGGGGTTGTTTCCCTTGAACCCACCACTGAGGGGGTGACTTTGATGGTAAAATAATGAGGCCAGAGCAGAGAGAGAGAGAGAGAGAGAGAGAGTGATTCCATGGCACGGCGCGGAGTGAAACAAGTGACCTCCAGCACCTGCAAGCAGCTTGGGACCCTGCAGGTTAATCGCGTTGGCCTCTTCTTCTGAGGCTGTCACCTTGGCCGCACGACGGCAGACTAGAAGACGCAAGCTCTCCAAGAACACATGGAATATATATATATATATACATATGTATATATGCTACCCCCTCCCCCCCTGGTGCCCAGGTGTTGCTTGATTTCAGTCATTTGTTCGGGTAGTTTTGCATTTTTTGGCCAAACTTGGGCACCAAGGAACGGGGGTTTGCCACAATTCTACAATTAAGAATTCTGGACCCAAGATTGCTGGGAGACGTTCAATGTGACAATCTGGAATTCAAGATTCAAGACTTCAAAACAATATTTTCTGGAATCCTGGAATATTGAATCTTGC